AGTTTTGAGTGGCCAAGCCAATATCTTTCAGACGCCACAATACTAGGCAAGAATGCAGGAATGAACTCATTGTTTCCTGCAAACACCCCTTCCATTTCACTCCTCTTTTATTCCCTATGGGAGGGGCCATTCACCGTCCACCTGTGGCCTTACTCCCAAGTCAATCCTTGTTCCTTAGCTGTTCCCTTCGTCTGGCAACACTAGGATCAGGCTCCAGCAGTTTATCTGCCCCCTGATGTCTGACTCCAAAGGCAACTGATAGCTATCAGAGGGCCCTGGCCCCATCTATGCCTCCGATGCAGAGCACTCATCAGAGCCTTCCCCAGACTCCAGGACTGGCCCATGTTCCTCCCACCCTCCTCACTGTCTAAATCTGGTGAGCCACAACATTGGGATAGTACTTAACCACATAAAATCCTAAAGATTATCTGAATGTTTGTTGGTCAGGATTCAGGCCTGGTTACAGAGTGGAAGTTGCAATGCTCCTTCCAAGAGATGATCTGTGGTGGAACCACAATGGGGGAGTGCAACTTTTCCAGTCTTACTGATTCTTTCAACAACCTTCAGTTCAATTGAACATGGTATCCTTCTGAACTGTGAAAGTTGCTTGTGAGAAACACTGTCTTACTGTGTTCTTCTCCTTGAAGACCGGTTTCAGGAAATGATTGGGAAACAAGTCAACTTCACAAGAACTCCAAAGTAGAGAGCTGGGGGTGCGGGGGGACAACCATGCTTAAGGTCTACATCAAGGGTCCCCAACCCCCAGGCCACGGACTGCTACAGGGCTGCTGACCATTGGGCACCAAGCCACCAAAGTGGTGGGCAAATGCACAAAGCTTCATTTGCACATGCACAGGATTTAGGTTGCGCACATGAAATACTCCCCCTGCTGTCAAAATCGCCAAAGCCACCATCGCTGCTGGTCTGTAGAATCCAAAGGTTGGGGATCCTTGGCCTACATGAAGCCACTATTTGGAAAGATTATGTATCAGCACTGGGTGGAGGTATCACTAATATCTGAATGATACTCAATTGTATAATCTCCATCTCAAGAAAACGATGGTAGTTGTTGGACTTGATTTTGAACTGGTGGCTGAAAGCTATGAGAAGCTGAATGGGGAAAAAACAGCAAGCAAATTGTTAAATAAGACAAGGGTTAGCTTGGATTTTTTTCTATATTTCTAGCTGCTTTTCCAATGTGCCTCACAAATGTTAGTTGACTGATTATGTACCATCAGGTTAATATCAACTCTTAGTAATCATATTGCTAGATTGTCCCCAAAACAAACCTGGTCCAAGAGTGCACCCATAAGCACTTGTAACTGAGTCCACATACAGAGTCTTGGCGCGCTCTGAGCTTTGTTGTTCACTTGCAAACGTTTCATTACCAAAATAGGTAACATCATCAGTGTGATTGTTTCCCTACTAGCAAGCAAACAAACAAGTTCTGGTTTGAAAGATTCTTAGAACTGTTGTTCAAGATCTCTGAAGAGAGAACCATTTCTTCTTCAAGAGCACTTTCTAGCAATGCTCCATGTTTCCTTCAAGGTGGCCCTTTCATTAAGAAGCAGATTCAGCTTCTCAACAATTCTGTGAACTTTTCACATAAAAAGGGAATGTATGCATTGAAATCTTGTTGGTTCACCCTCTGGGTCTTGCCTATAGGACTCTTTGTATTTGTTTAGTTCCCAGCTACTTGATAGTAACCATTGAATAATCATCATAGCTGACCAGAGCAGCGGTGGGATTCACTTACCTTCCCTACCAGTTCACAAATGTGATCGCACGGGCCTCGTCTGAACATGCACAGTGCTCACGCATTATGTCAGGAGGGGGGGAGCCTCCTGCAGCCACCGCTACTGGTTCACCAAACCAGAGAGAACAAGCTGAATACCATCTCTTGACCAGAGGCTTTCTAAAGCCCACATTTAACACGGTCTCAATTATACTATACTGTGATATTGCTGCTATCCAAAAGAAATTAGGGGGAAAATGTGTTTATTGATTGCTGACTCTGTAATCATGTTGTTCTTGAAAGAAAAGTTCAGGAAGAAGAGTTGCGGGAGAATCACCCCTATTTTGACAAGCCTCTTTTCATAGTGGGTCGGGAGCACAGATTTAGGAATTTCTGCCGCGTTGTAGTTAGAGCTCGCTTTAATGCGTAAGTATATGTGTAGCATATGATTTGATTCACTTGTTTTGATTCACTGTATTCTGTTATTAAAAAGCTTCTGCAAAATACCATCAATAACTAATCAGAGACATTTTAATATATCCAGCAATTATGTATTTTGCAAATGTTTCTTGCTTTTATTTTATTTGTTTTATTCTTTCAACCATAAACAGAAACTGGGAGATCTGTATGCACTGCTTTTGAAACATAAATTGACAAAATTTTTTTTCTTTTTTCAACATTTGCAAATGAATTCAGGGATCAGAATGTCATCATGATTTCTGTGCAGGTTGCCCTTGACACCCATTTGAATATTGTGCAAGATTTCAAATGTGGGAGCTGATAGAGGAGAACATTCCCTCACTTTGTACTTTATAGCAGGGGTGGGCTATAAAAATTTTTTTAGCAAGGGGTTCTCTGCCCAGTTGCTGGGTGGGCATGGCCATGGTGGGCGTGGCCTAGTTGGCCTCCTGCACCATGGTGGTGGGGGGCTGTTTTTGCCCTCCTCAGGCTCCGGAGGCTTTCTTTGAGCCTCCAGGAGGATGAAAAAAGCCTCCCAGGCTCTGGAAGCCCAAACTTCCGGTAGGCCCATTTTTTGCCCTCCCCAAGCCTCTGCGTGCACCCTGCACTAATGGCATCCAAAACAGGCAATGTGGAGACTCCGAGGGGTGGGGCGGGGCCAGCCAGGAGTGGGATTTGGGAGTTCTCCGAACTGCTAAGAATCTTAGCTAGAGGTTCTCCTGAACCCCTGCAAACCCACAGCAGCCCAGCCCTGCTTTATAGTTCTCCCAAAGCCTTCCAGTCAGCCAGCAGTATGCCTGGACTCCAAAGCCCTCCCTGAGAAAAACTGTATGTGCTCCGCTAAAACAAAGATTATTTTGGGGATAGTCATGACAATTTAAACAGAAGTGGTATGGTACAAAGCCAGAGCCATACAAACTTTGCAACAGTGAAGGAATACCTGCTGCCATCCAGTTCTCTCCAGGTGAACTGGAACATCAATTCCCAGAGATACAAAACAAGATATTGGATAGCACCAGTTTGAGGATGGATTTAGGGACTTAGATTTGAACTAAAAGAATAAAATACAATATAAATTGTCTTGATATTTCACAAGACCTATTAAGTCACAAATTCTGTTTCCATTCAAGGGTAGACAATGTAGCTGTTAATTAAAGAGACAAAAGTTGTCCTTATATGTTCCCAGTGCCTAAAATTAAGTCTGTTTTAAAATTAGGTCTCAGTCTAAACTATATCTATTAACATTAGATTTAAGAAATTGGTATATTTTAGTCAATTTCTGTGAACAGTGGGGTCATAAATGAAAATGTTCAATCCTCAAATCGCTATGAATTTGTAGTTCTGTTATTATTTGTTTGTTTATTTTAAAAAATACTCTTCATTTCTAATGTGGATTGTCTTGTATATTTGTGACACAGTTTTGTATAATAAAAATTGAACAATAATCTAAATGTTGTTTTTCTTCTCTGTTACAGCTCTAAAACAGATCCTGTTACTGGAGCAGTTAAAAACACAAAATATCATCAACTTTAGTAAGCATAAATGAATTTATGCATTTTCTATATTGATGTACACTTTTTTCCAAACTTATATTTCTCTGGAAAGTGTTTTCTTAGAATAATTATTTCTAAGATTCAACATTATGAAAGATTCTCTTATTTTCACTAGTCCAACTTATATTTGACTGATATTTATAATTTCTGGAGTCTCATTGCCACTTAGTGTGTTCCATTTTATTTTGCAGTGATTTGCTGGGATTGGTTACTTATCTAGACTGGGTAATGATCATTGTCACCATATGTTCCTGTATTTCAATGATGTTTGAATCCCCTTTTCGAAGAGTAATGCATGCACCTACTTTACAGGTAATTTTCTGAAAATAATTGGTTTGGATATAGTATTTTGCAGGGGTGTCAAATTGGATTTCTTCGAGGGTGGATCAGCATTGTAGTTCTTCTTTGTGGGCCAGCGGGGGGATGGCAGGGAGTGGGGGGGAAGCATGGATGTCTCCTGCAGCACTTTAGCAACCAAAATCAGGCATGGGGGGGCTACACACAGCCCCCCTCACCTTGTTTTCGCTATCAGTGAAAATGGGCTTCCCAAGGCCTCTGTGCAGCCCCTTTTCGGCCAGCAGAGTACTGCTGGAGGGCATGGAGGGGGAAAAAAGGTGCAGGAGGGTCCATGCATTTTCGGTCCATTTTTGGCAGCAGAGGCACCACAGGCTCATCCTTTGATATTCCTAGGATTTAAGCACCCCAGCCCACGGGCCATGAGTTTGACACCCCTGTCTTACTGTTATTCTGTCAATGTTTTTTCTTTGTTTTTCAGATTGCTGAATATGTTTTTGTAATATTTATGAGTATTGAACTTAACTTGAAGATTATGGCTGATGGATTGTTTTTTACACCGACGGCAGTCATCAGAGATTTCGGAGGTGTCATGGATATTTTTATATACCTTGTAAGTTTTTGTTCTTAAAGTTAATTCAAACCAGTAAAAAGTAGGACCTATGATAAGAGTTAAAAATAATTTGTATCCCTATTGATGTCAGTTTCATACAAAGTTCAGAGTACCTTCAATTGAATATTTATAATATATAAATAATTAGACTTAACATATTTGCAAAAATATACTGCCTGGGGACTATGAATATTTAAAATAAACAAAGAAGTTCCATTGCTTTATTTTCATCATGGTGCTAAAGGTTTTATTTTACAGATGATGAATCATACTCAATGTGTAGTCCTCAACAGAATTAAATCAACATGGAGGGAAGTAAGTACAGGTAGCCCTCAGTTTACAACCACAATTGAGCCCAAAATTGCTAAGTGAGAAATGTGTTACGTGAGTTTTGCCCCATGACTTTTCTTGCCACATTTGTTAAGTGAATCCTGCAGTTGTAAAATTAGAAAAATGGTTGTTAAATGAATCTGGTACCCCATTGACTTTACTCATCAGAAGTTCGCAAAAGGTGCAGGAATTGGGTACATCTAGCCTAGTGAAAAGAAGGACAGTATTTGAAGAGCTACCACAAAGATGAGGGAGAGAAATTATTTTCTAAAGCACCTGAGGGCAGGACAAAAAGCAATGGATGGAAAATAATCAAGGAGACAAGCAACCTAGACATTTCCTAATGGTGAGAACAATCAACCAGTTGAAGGGCTTGCCTTCAGAAGTTATGGGTGCCCCATCACTGGGGACTTTCAAGAAGAGACTGGATAGCCACTTGTCTGAAACGACAATGTCTCCTGCTCGAGCAGGGGCTTGAACTAGATGATCTCCAAGGTCCCTTCCAACTCTGTTATTCTATTGGCTGGATCCAGGAAGATTCCCAAGGTGCAAGCCTGCTCCTGGGAAAAAAAGTTCAGGTTCTCCACCTAAAACAGACCATATTCTGAAGGCTTGAGCATCAGTAAAAACTCCATTTTATCTAAATGGATAAAGTTTTGTGGTCTGGAGGCATTCATATGGCCCCAAAGACAACCTTGAATTCACATGGAAAAAAAAATATGGCTGAAAGATTAGGATATAAGTAACACATTTCTACTCATTGTATATTTCTACTACTGAAAACTATATAGAAATCTGCAGATCCTTCAAG